GCCTAGTAAATACTGACTCCGGCCGCGGAGCTCTCAGAAGTCTTGCGGCCTGCTGTTCGAATGTGCGTGGTTGCTCCGATCAACACAGGGCGAATACCGGGGTAGTACCCGTGGAAACGGGGCACGGACAGCGCGCGATCAGTCCTTCCTTTTCCTTATCCTATCCTCACCCATAAATTACACACATTTACACGTGATACATTCATTCGCCGCTAGGAGCGTAGTGAAATTTGCACGAATCGACTTAAATATCTGATGATCTGAACTTCCCCGCCTAAAATAAGTTATCAGTAAATTGAACTGAAAAGTTCTCATCCAGTTTATGGCTTTACCCTTCTCAGATATTAAGCCGTTCTCTTCTTCAGTTACAGTGGGGATTCCAAACTAAAACGTGCAGACCTACAGAAATTGAGTTGTATACTCGCAACTACAATCATTACGGCACCCGGTCATTCAAATGTAGAAGAAACGGAAAACCCCCTACTCAAAGTTTCAGTGCAAGGATGATAAGTAATTAGTGAGTCAAGAAACGTAAAGATCAGTTTTTATTCCGAAAGTTATCGCGTTTCCCGACAATTCCATTAATCACCCCTCACGTCCAGCGATGCCGATGGTAAGTTTTGCGAATAAAAAATTGATACCGTGACATATTGAATTAACTATGTATTAAACACAGAAGAACTAAGCGGTGTGTCGCTGAAAAGGCTCTTAATTACTGCGATCTGTCTTGGCCAGTTGTCCAAATGGCGGTCCGCGCTCTGCATTCGGCCCGGGGCGCGTCTTATAGTGGCCCGCGAAAGGTTATATAACTCCTTTAAGTGAAAGTTCAGTAGTTTAGATTTCAGAATTTTTATAGTACATTCAGAAATTCAATATCATCCCTATGCGTTTCCCTGCGTTATGCATAATACGACTTGATATTACGTATGGTTCTATTCCCCTCCCCCCCCCTGGTTCAGAGCTGCCGAGGAAACTGTCGAAGTCAATATGGTGAAGTCGGATGTGGATTTCCCGAGTAATGGTCGGCAATCATACGTAAGGTTTTATTTGTGGCCCTTAAGACCTTGCTGCTTGGACACCCCTGGACAAGGCGATTGCCATTCTTTGGACGCTCTTCAACACCTGCCCCATCCATATGTTAACAATGCTGGCCGTCTAATAAAGCTCGGCCCCACACGCCGTCTACACTTGTATTTCCTGTGGCGTGCGGATGCGAACTGAATAATATTTAAAGTGCAAAGAGAGTCCGAGCAGCAAATATTTACGCTGAAAACTCGCCACATTCCAGGACCGGAGCAGGAAATGATCAAAGGTGGTCCGGGCGCGTGGGTGCCTCGACGACCGTGCGCATATCGAAAAGATGTTCTGGACGACGGCTTTTAGAATTACTGCATATATATATATATATATATATATATATATAAATATATATATATATATATATCGTTCTGACGGGCTGGGAGCGCTTTGTCGTAGTCTGAAATTGTTATAATATTTCAATAGATGGGCGTGTTCCAATATCTGCAGACCACCGAAAAGAGCATGAGAGTATGAGGGTGTGGTTTTCAAGTTACCCACAATTACATATCTATCCGAGGAATAACCGGCGTCCGGTACGCTAACCGTCACACCATCACCGCCGCCAAACTCCGACTTCTTGACAATCCATTTTCATTATCAGGTGCAGAAGCTTTACATCATATTAGCAACAATCGTTTTTAAGACAAACCAAATTCTTGTTAGCTAACAGAGTGTGTATTATCCCATCCCGTTTATCTTCAACCTTCGAATGTATCGCGTGGAAACATTTGTCATATCGATTACGTTATCTGTTATCTAATAACAAGAAAACAAGCCATTTTAGAAATCCGGAAAAACAGTTTGGGAATGGCACGTCACTTGAACGAGGAGTGGCGGTATCCCTCGGCCAGATGTTTAGTTATCTCCCACCAGCGGGGCACCGCCTCAGCCAGGACAAGCTCTGAGCTCTCGACCAATCTCCCAGCATATATGGTACTGCGGTGCATGTAAGTGGAAGTATGCGTTAGTAAGGGATGAGGATAAGAGAAAAGGGGGGGAAAGATTGCGCGCAGTACGTGGCCCGTTTGTTAGGGTAATGCTCTGGCATTTGCTTCGTGTGGATAGGAGAAACCACGGGAAATTACCTTTCAGATCAGCCGACCACTGTAGTTCTCCTCCGCACAGCGGCTGAAATCGACCTAGCTGTTTACCTGGTAGCGAAAGTTCTACCACCGTCGGGATTCGAACCCCAAGACGTCCCAGTGAGAGACCACAGTGATATCAGTGAATTCTTCGGTCCTTGTCCTATCCTCACCCCTTACACTCACTTGGGCGGCGGCCACAGCGTAGCCGATTTTAGCACCTGCGAGCGCCGTCTTACGCTCACATGCAGTACACACTTCCACATGTTGAGAGAAGTCCTGTCGGCAGCTAAGAGTGTGTTTCGGCTGTGGTGGTTTCGCACTAGCCATTGACACCTGATTGGGGATACCCCCAAGTGCCGGACCTCACAACGCAGTGGGGGAAATAACCTCCGCCACCTACTGCGATTAAAACATGCAAGACACTTAGAGGTACAAAGACCTTAGCCGTTGTCACGCCCGGAAACATGAAGTAATCAACCCGGAGAGGTAGATCAGGACATTAACTGATGTCTCTACAGTCCCTCTGACCGGAATTTCCTAGATTCGAGTTCCGACGATTGTAGGATTTTCGACTCTAGCTTGCCTGCTGTGTCGAAGTTCAGTCGCTGTCTGGAGGAGAATTCTAGCGGTCGGGTGCTTTGATGGGTAGTTTGACTTGGTTTCTTCAATCATTACCAAGCGAATGCCGCTGCAGTACTCTAACAAACGTGCCACGGACCACGCGCGATCTTTCCTTCTTCTTCCTTGCCCTATCCTCACCCCCTTACACACACAGTAACATGCACTACACTACAACACAAGCGGAGAGACCGGTCGGGAGGTCAGAACTTCTCCCGCCCGGGCGATGCCCCGCTGGTGGAAGACACCTGGTTAGGGAAATCCCCGCTAGCCGACGGT